GCGTAACTGTCGCTCTGTTCTGCCCACGTAGGTCGCTCCGCACCCACATTGGAATTGGTAAATCAGATTAGAGTTGGCGTACAGAGGAGGACGTTCTTTTACCGGGGGTGTGGGTATTCTAGTTGTCCGATAGACGATTTGGGGGTCGGCTACGTAGTAGGTTCAAGCAATTGCCGATCTCAGTAGTTTTTTGAACAAACTGCTTACGTCATCACCTTTGAATTGGAGGCACAACGTGACTCTTAATTTTGGGACTGACGCAATCGTTTCTTTTACATTTCTTGGTTTTCTATGTTCGTTGACGAACGCTTCGGAGTAAGCGTTTTCTGCTAACATCTCCCGAAGGTTTTATAGTTCTTGTTCAATTTTGTCCTCCATGCAGGTCCGTCTCGTTCTGTTAAATAGAGTCCAAACAAGACGACGTTTATACTCCAGGGGCACAAAGCTCTCGGAGTGTAAATATTGGCCTGTCCAGGTCATCTTTCGGTAAACAGATCGGGCGATCGTACCGTCTTCTCTTCGCCTCATGCTGATGTCGCGGAAGTTCAGTGTGTTGTTGGCTTCGGATTCCACTGTGAAGCGAATATTCGGATGTAATCTATGAAGTTCATCCAAAATTACTGTAGCTTCTTCTAGGCTTTCTGTTATCACAAGGGTGTCGTCGACGTATCGTTTGTATCGTTTGTTATTTCAAAAGCCAAGCAATATGGCGAACAAGGTTGTTTTCGTAACTTCGTCTTCAGACCTTTACAGTTATGTGTGTGTTTTTATATAATGTAGAAATAAATGTGATTGGTCCATAGAGGTCAAGTATGAAAATACAACAATGTCCAAGTTTAATCAGAGCGAGTGGATAAAATGGGGACAATGGGCGAAAAGGGGGGACACAAAGATCACTTCTGGAATTTTCGGTGACATTTTTTCACGTGCAATTTGTCACGCCATGTTGCGTCATCACGACATGATTGAGGTTATGGTTCGGGTCACCACGCACGTTTGGTTGGGGCCAAGACAGCTGAAGTGCGGCAACCATCCTCTTCTGCTTGCACAGTAGTGGGTCCATGATTTTGATTGCTACAGCTTCCACCGTTGCCAAATGACGTTTCCGAACTTGCTTGGGGTACTTTGTAGATGACTTTGAATGCATCGTTGTCTGGCTGATGCCCGGTGTCAGCGAAGTGGGCCATAATCGCACTGGTTGTTGTTTTCTTGCAAATCGTTCTAAGCCAGCCGGTTTATGTGCTGTGATCCTTTGGGAGAGCTACCTCATCGTTCGTCCTACATAACTCGCCGAACATGTGCAAGTGAAGGAATACCTAATCTCAGATGAGGAAAGGATGGACAGTTTATTCTTGAGGTTTGTGCACAGCTGAGGCCAGCTTGTAAACATCGAACGTAGAGTGGTGGCTGGAAATGTTCGTGTAATAGCTTTCTACAGACGTCTTCTTAGTATATCACCACTCGAATCTCCTTTGAACGGGAGCTGCAAGAATAGTGCTTTCTTTTTGGCCGTGCTTGGTTTAGGCATTGTGGGCTTTTCTACGAGGTTCTTCTCGATGAATCGCTCCGGGTATCCGTTATTAAGAAGTGTAGATTTGATGAATCTAAGTTGTTTATTATTTTACAAGGAGGCAACCTGAAATATCCACATAATGCAGCCACGGTGAGTTAGGGCGCTCAGTATTAAATCACTAGAACAAGTGTGGTCGCAAACTAAATGGTTTCTATCGTTTGAATAGTTGCGACATCTCCGTATCTAATCAGTTATTTCAAGGATCATAAAGCGACCTTTAAATTGGTTATTTCTACCAACGTTTTGTTTGATGCAATTTAGCTTTTGGTGGCATCTTTTAGAATGTATATAGGGTACTTTTGCTATAAAATCTTCACTAAGTTCCTCTACAATTCGATAGCTTGGCAATGGATAGTCAATAAATAGATGCAACTCTGTGGTTTTGAATTTCCCGGTACATCTACAATTGCGTTCGCCACTGGCCATCATCTCATTGGTGATCTTGAATGTGAGAAGGAAATAACTATTTTGTGCCTCACATCAATGAAAATTCGGACAAAAAAATGTTTAGTGGAACCACTTGTTTTTGGCACAAATCAGCAATGAGAAATTGAAATTTTAATCATGATTCACATGATAATGGCTGTATGATTACGCGGGTTATGCCACTGATTTAGCTTCAAGGATCATTCGTGAACGAGAACAAACATTCATTGCGAACATTAGAACCTCAGTTGGTATCCAACACCCTTTCGCTCCAGTAAATCTACCGAGAATGCATACCATTGAAACGAATCGCTAAATCATCTTCATTAAGTTAGGGCTTTCCTTAAAGTACAGAAAATAATAAACTTTCCGAGTCCTCTTATGTGAGATGGAACTCATTCTGAATGACGTTGAGAAGAGCTCGGAAGGGTGTTGTGCTGGTCTGGCTCTTTTGTACCGTGCCGAGTTGCCCATTATCCGGGACGGATAGGAAAGTACTTCTTCTTTGGTACACACCATTCTGTGGCGGCGGTACTGCCAGGGTGTGGTGGGTTTTGGGTTGGTCACCCGGCTCCTGTTTAAAAGCTACATAAGCCCAATGAGGATGTCGCGACAAAGGTCGATGTGACTGGCCTTTTAAAACGAAAGCCATTGACCCCTTCACTTCCGAGGCGAGGGCTTACTTCCTGCTGCCTAGCAGTTTGCACTTGGTTGTACAAAGGCTAGAGGTGCGCCCTCAAAGTAAAAAACGCCGAGTGACGCTGGGGACGTCTCTCGTACCAAACTCCCGAGGAACTCGATGATCTTGATCATGATCATGTCTGGAGCCGGCTTATCCTTTTCAAGGAACCAGACGCAGGAAAGTAGTAAAAGTAAGTAAAGTATAGGTCTTGGAATATAGACCTTGGGCCATCTTTGCAGCCACATCAAACTATTGTGATGGTAATGCTCCCGGTTTGGTCTATCAGCGACTTTAGTCTTTTAGCTGACGCTCATTGCTTGTTTATTTACGTATGTTTATCAATTGTTTATTCTGTATTAGTCGTTTGGCCATTTTTTTGAACCGAACTAAACTGTTGTACTCCACATTTTAGCTAATCCATTGAAATCATGGAATACAAATTCCCCGTACTCCCAAGTGTCCCAAACTGGGGAAAAGCACTCGGTTTCCGAAGAGTCACTATCCCAGCTATCGCTACCGCCACCTCCTTCTCCTACTCCTCCTCCACGATGCTCATTGTCTGTGGGATCAGCTGAGCAGGACAAAGAGAATCGGTTACCTGGTTATTCCACCGTGCAAGATGACGAGTATCACAGTTTTCTGACATTACCAATCCCTGGTTCCGTTCGTCCGGATCGGTTTGTCCCAAATGTAGAACACACTGACTCCACGTTCAAAATTCCGAGCACATCGCGAATGCCTTTTGTGGAATTATCACCGGGTGCACAATTTATTCCACACAGAAATGTACGAAAAGTTCTTTCTACGGTTAGGCGAATGCCGCTACGAGCAGCCAAAACGACAGCAACAATAACAACGAAATCTGTGCTTGGTGAGTTTGTGCAATTCAGTTTAGTTTCATTCTCCGTATGATAATGATGTGTTTTCAAGGTAAAAGGCATTCAATAGCGATAGTATCTCTGAGTGGTTAAAGTGTCGTGCCCACCATTGACCTATAACTCTGAGAAGCTGAGGTAAGCATTGACGATCACTGCTTCACAGGTGAGCCAAACTAAGTTGAGTGTTACCGGGCCTGGGTGATATTGTGTACGACCTGAGAAGACAGCTCCTGCTTAATCGGCCTGATCCCAAAGATATCAACGTAATGTGATCAACAAACAGGAATGCTTATCTCCCTGTGTTGCACCTGTATGTATCGCATCGCAAGTGAGCTCTGAGGGGACTATCGACAACCGCACACACAGCTATCTTAGAATTCACATCTGCTTGCAGGAAAAGCTGAGGCTATATCTTTACCGAAAGATGTACTAAGTTTGCAGCAT